AAATGGAAGTGTGGATGAACCATGTATCAGCCTTATTTGGAGATGCCTGGGGATTGAACCTGCATGCAAAACATCTGTACTGCGGCTGAATCAGAATAAGAAATGCCCAAATTAGAAAGAGAAGAATCTGCTGTGAGATTCAGTGGTAAAGAGTAGGTTTTCCAGAGGAAAACTGCAAGGCAAACACAAAACCACTCAGACCCATGCCTGGAAAGCATCAGACAATTGGGGAACACTCAAACCTGAGTTTTCCAGGAACAGAACAAGTAGAATTCTGAATGAACCCTCAGCTACAGCCACTTCCTTTTACATATTCTGCTTTTCATCATTCTCATGTTTAGAAACATAGGGTGGTTTTTACATATATTAAAACTGAGCCCTTCATATGATAATTATCACATTTTAAACAAATGTGCCAGCTTTAGGGGCATTTCACAGATTATACATCAACAAAAGATATACACAACATGGAGCTGTGGATATTCCCATCTGTGTTACATTTAGTTTCAAATGCCTGCTGGTCAGATTCACACTTTACATTTTCAGCTGCATGCCTAGCCGTCTATGGTGTGTGTACACTTAAAACAGGCAGTTTCACACTACGTTGCATTATTGATAGTGAAGTTCTAGAACAGAGATGAGGAAGCTGTGCCACCCCAGATGTTGTTGAACTACAACTCCCATTATCCCTGACCATTGGCCCTGCTGGCTGGGCTGATGGAAGTTTGAGTCCAACAACATTTGGGACAAATTCCCCACCCCTGTTCTAGAACTTTAGAGTTTATTGTTTGAAGTGAACCTTCCATAATGTCCCCTAAAGAATGATTAGCACCTGTCATCACATTCCAACAGCTTGTAGTGTCTCTGAAGGTCCTTGATAACCATGGAAACATCTTCTCTAACAAGCCAAAAGAAAAAGAATTTAAAAAGGAGTGGTCAAAAACTGCGTTGGTGGGCACTAGCTTAGATGACTTTAAAGGGGGTTTAGATAAATCTGTGGGAAGGATAGGTTTATTGATTACTACTGGTTATAGAAGGCTGTATTTTACCTCTAGATAAGAAGCAGTATGACCCGGAATATCAGTTGTGGGTGAAAGTAGCAGAATATCAGTTGCAGAAGAATTCCCTTTGGCCAGATGTGCTCATGTCCTGCATATGGACATCTTGTTGACTGCTGTGAGTAACATAATTGTGGATTTGTTAGGGTTGCCATACATCTGGAATTCCCCAGACATAGCCAGAACCAATGTCTGGGTAGAATTTGCTGAAATAGCTCAGCAACTTTGGCCAAAAAAGGTCAACAGGTTTTGTGTCTGGATTTTCAATACAGCAAACCTAGGCATTTGCTTTGATCCATGTAAGTAGTTCTTAGGTTCTTGTGAGGTAATGGCCATCTTAATGCAGGAGAAGCTGGTCACTAGGGGCAGAGCCAATATCCAAAGCTACAGCCGAACACTATTGTGTTCCCCCAGAGCCAAATTCAGAATTTTCCTGTCATTATACCCACTGAACCCACTGGAGTCTTTTCTGTACACCTCTCTTTGAATAATCAGAATTGTAAAATCACATGTATATCTAGGTATTTGTTGTTGATTCTTAGAAATGTAAAATTTCTAGGTGTCCAATCTTAAATATCTGATGCTTAATCTCTGAGAATTGCTTAAAGTGTGAGGGAGGAGGATGGGGAGAAAACCAGAATAGGTTGACTCTGCTCCAGTGAACCATGGCTTTTCCTCCCATTAGCTACCCTGCCAACTCCAGTGGTTATCACTGGTTGATAACCATCACTGTATTAATTTACTTCGTTGGACTACTTCTAGTGTATAAGTGGGGTATGATGTCATGAAATCATGAAACTTGGCTAACCTCTCTGATATCCCAGGGAAGGTAAAGGGAATGTGTTTGATCCAGCTAATAATATGACACACAATGAATGCCAAACTCACTGCTGTGCATTACTCAATGCAAAATTAGCTGTGCTGGTGTGTCAACAGCAGTGTCAACAGTCAGAAAGAATTAGGAATGTACATTATTTTTATACTTATAGAACACTGTTAAATATGCCTTTTCTAGTTGCATTTCTGAAGAAATAAGAGAGTTGGGTAGGGCGAATTTCAAAGGAGGTGGTTCATGTTACAGAATAAGCAGTGCATCTTGCACAAATCCCAATTATGCAAGACTCTGCACAAATCTTCAGAGCTGCAGGCAACTGTCAAGGAGCATAGTTGGAAACATGTTCAGTATCTTATAGCACGAATAAATTGCAGGTCTATGTAATACAGGGAGCTCAATCCTGGCTGAGAGTAGATTATATGATTTTCTTGAGTTCTATTAATGTTGTACGGCTACTCCAAGCTTAATAACAAATGTGAATAGAAAAACCTCTGCTGATACTCATCTCTGCAGCTGTCAATTCATAACCACTTTCTCCATTGCTCCCTACTTTCACCAGTGGTAAGTGATGATATGGGCCTAGTTCTCATTGAGGTGGTAAATTGATGTCTAGGCTGTATGCTTCAGAGTGCAACTGATTAAATGCTGTTCCAGGAATGCTTGGGGGGTTTGATCTCCACAAATTCTGATATAAACTGACTTGATGGGCACCTTCAGGACAAAAGTATAGATTGGCATGTAGCTATGCTTGGAATGTTGCACTTTTTCAAATTCTGCTGTGCCGTCCTTGGCTCAAAATTGTGCTTGAAAATGCAAGTTTTAAGATGAAAGATGTTTGCAAAAGTAATCCATCCATCTCTACAGTTCTCCATACAAACAACAACAACACCTCCACAAAGAATATAGCTATTCAAGGTCAAACTATGTGGGGTGCTGAGTAGTACGTAGGATACTCCTATTCCCTTCACAGAGCTACAATTCTGTGTGGATTAAGAGTTTATCCTTCTTCCAAAGGAACTCTCTAAATTGCAACTCTGTTACAACAAGTCTCCCAACAACTCTCAACACCCTTAACTAACTAGAAATCACAGGTTTATTTGGGGAAAGCCTTGACTGTTTAAAGTGGTTTTATATTTTATGGTGCATATGGAGCTGAAATCTGGTGCATTTTCTTGGTCGGGAGAAGCTTCTTAGGCTTGTATTCAATGTTAGTTCTACACAGAGTAGAACTAACCAGAAATTAATGGACCTACATTAATGAGCTTACTTTGAATTGAACTAATACTGGATACAACCCATTATCTTTTCCCCTTCAATAGGTTTTCTTGCAGATTGTCCTTACTGCTTTTCTACCGCCATGGGGGAAAAGACCTAGGTACGAGATCTAAATATGGGTACGAAACTACTCATAAAACATTGCACGGCCAAACAAGTCAATGACTTTCAAACAGAAAACAGACACGTTATAAAGCCTCTGTGCATTTTAGGAACCATTTCTGACTTGGCTTCTATGATTTAATTATGTTTCAGAGAAGCTCATCTGGGAACTATTTGTCCAGTGAGAATGTTTTCTGCTAACACTTTTATTAAAAGAATAATCTGTGGGATAGGTTTATTGACCACATGTACTTTTGCCAAAAAAGAAAAAAAGAGAAATTATATTTCTCAAACAAGTGCCTGGATGGACATTAATACAAAACATCTGGATGAGCATGTCGGATTAAGTTCATCAATATTCATTAAGTCATCCATATTTATGTTGCATCCCTCACAGTGATTAACTTTGATCACTAAACTATTATTAATTACGTGAATGAGGGGACATAATCCAGGCCTGGTGGAAGGCTAGTGAATGGAGCAATATTTGATTTAAACAAGATCTAAATAGAATCCCAAAATTTTAGACTACACCTAGGAGTGTTAGGGGAAATTTACACTAGTATAAGGCATTTTTCTATGCTATTTTCAATATGCCCCCTTATATGCATTTTTTGCACACACTACATGGCAGGAGAACTGCACTGCACAATTCAGAGAGGTGTGAATTAGGAAGGATGATTGCATTTTGGTTTGCATTTTTCTTGCAAAATGCAAATTAGGTAAATTTGTCTTAAATATAAACTGAATTTAATTTCTCCTTGGTCCCTAGAAGTGAGATTGTCGTCCCTTCTATGTTGATCAAATGATTCTGCTGATGAACTGGAAGGGAAGGAGACAATTTGCATCCCCAATAGCGCACACTGATTTTTCTGATTTTATTTTTAATTAATTAATTGGCTGGAGGGTTGTTATGCTTTTAGAATCCCTTTGCCACAGCTACAAATGGTGGATTATTGGAGACCCAGAATGTGAGGTTAGCCAACTCCAATGTAATACATAGTTGCTGTCTCATAGCAAATGACAGTCTCTCAGCCTCCTGTTTTCATCCTGGGGTTATGAATATTGGCCTACCTCTCAGGATTTTGGTAAGACTTTGGAGGTAATAACGACGAAGTACTTTGAATGCTTTGAAATGCACCATAAAAGAGTATTACAGTATTTTGGTTTTTGGGGAGTGAATATCATTTTTAAGTACAGGTGATGTCTTAAAACAAATTGCCATAGATGCATTCCTTCTACTATTTCGTCAGAAACGGATAGGGAATTGCAAATGTGACTTCCATTAACAACAATTGTGTATACTGCATTCTGAGCACACTCCATTGAACAAATTCTTCTTTCATGTCACTAAGCTGAATTAGACCCTCTGAAAGGTCATCAGACTACAGCAATGTGAGGGCCTTGGATGAGCATCCATCAATAGACTTAAAATTATTGCCTTGTAAAACTCTTTATTTTCCAGATGGGTTTTATGAACCCCTTTTTTGCCCTCAAGAATGGGCAGGCTGTATATACAGTCTGGCTGTTAAACTTTCCTGTAAACTTTGTGTGAATCATTCTGACAGATGCGTGAAGTGCCCAGTTTCCAATGCTGCACTGTGGGTTGATGTTATTAACATTTAGGGACGGTCCAGTAGAATAATATACTTGCTCCCTCAATCTGTTTTCAAAACGGATTTTTTGTGGCTGAATCATTTCTGAGCAGACTGGAATTTAGATCATTTCTCTCTCTCTCTTTCTCTCTCTCTCTCTCTCTCTGTGTGTGTGTGTGTGTGAGAGAGAGAGAGAGAAAGAGAGAGAGTGTGTTGGTGATAATAACTTGGAAAGAATTATTAAAGGTGGAAAATTAATGCTAATATCTGCTAAAAACAAACACTTGTCCTTTAGAGAAACTGAAAAAGCATTCCAAAATGTAGCTAAGGGTTATCTAGCATCTGAAAGACTAATATGTTTTATTAGGTCACCAGACCTTCCAAGTATCCCTATTCTCCAGGGACATCCCTGATTTAGAGAAAGCCATCCCGGTTTCTGATTTGATCCTGGAATGTCCCTCTTTTCCTTGGGATGTCCATATTTCCATTGGAGAAATGTTGAAGGGTATGGCATTATCCCCAAGCTGTCTGAAGGCAATCCTGTATAGGGAAGTGGTGTTTTTTTAAAAAAATGTTTAATGTTTTATTATGTTTTTATATATGTTGGAAGCTGCCCAGAGTGGGACAGCCCAGTAAGATGTGTGGGGTATAAATAGTAAAATTATCATTATGCAATGAGGCATCCCTATTTTCATTGGAGAAATGTTGTAGGGTATGTGTCACAAGCTTTTGGGGTGTAGAACCCACTTAATCAGATGCACCGAGTGTCACTCTCAATTGTCAAATATATGCACATAAAATGTAAAGGGTCACATCCACACCATTTAAAGCACATTTAACACACATTTAAAGCACTTGGCTTCCAACAAAGAATCCCGAGGACTGTAGTTCATCCCTCACAGAGCTACAGTTCCTAGCATCCTTAAGAAATTACAGCTCCTAGGATTCTTTGAGGCAAAACATGTGCTGTAAATGTATAGTGTGGATGTGACCGGGGCAGTGTGAAGGACAAAGCAAGGGCAAACCTGGGAGAAAGGTAGCATACCTGGGAACAGGAGCCATGGGTTTGTTCAGTGGAGACATCTGTTGTGTTAAACACCAGTTCTCACCATGCTGGCCTCCTTCCAGATGTGGACCAGCAAGGAAAGAGAACTTTAGTGAATGCGCCTCTAGAGACACACCCTATGATGAGACAGACCAAGGGCAGCTTAGTGAGATATCATTGATGGTTGATGTGAGACAGAATTCCAGATAGACCCTGAGAGGAAAAACGAGAGGTGGAGAAATGGAGCATGAAAGTGAAGGATGACTGAGTGTCTGGAGGCAGTTGGAGGATGGATGGCAGCTAACAGATTGAGGTTGAATCCTGACAAGACAGAAGTACTGTTCTTGGGGGGCAGAGGGTGGGCTGGTGTGGAGGACTCCCTGGTCCTGAATGGGGTAACTGTGCCGCTGAAGGACCAGGTATGCAGCCTGGGAGTCATTTTGGACTCACAGCCATCCATGGAGCCGCAGGTCAATTCTGTGTCCAGAGCAGCTGTATACCAGCTCCACCTGGTATGCAGGCTGAGACCCTACCTGCCCGTGGATTGTCTTGCCAGAGAGGTGCATGCTCTGGTTATCTCCCACTTGGACTACTGCAATGCGCTCTACATGGGGCTACCTTTGAAGGTGATCCAGAAACTACAACTAATCCAGAATGTGGCAGCTAGACTGGTGAATGGGTGTGGCCGCCGAGACCACATAACACCGGTCCTGAAAGACCTACATCGGCTCCCAGTACGTTTCTGGGCACAATTCAAAGTTCGTGCTGACCTTTAAAGCCTTAAACGGCCTCGGTCCAGTATACCTGAAGGAGCGTCTCCACCCCCATCGTTCTGCCCAGACACTGAGGTCCAGCACAGGGCCTTCTGGAGGTTCTCTCACTGCGAGAAGCAAAGTCATAGGGAACCAGGCAGAGGGTCTTCTTGGTAGTAGTGCCCACCCTGTGGAATGCCCTCCCATCAGATGTCAAGGAAATAATCAACTATCTGACTTTTAGAGGACATATGAAGGCATGTTTGGGGAAGCTTTTAACATTTGATGAATCATTATATTTTAATATTCTGCTGGAAGCCACCCAGAGTGGCTGGGGAAACCCAGCCAGGTGGGTGGGCTATATATGTATGTATGTATGTATGTATGAATGAATGAATGAATAAATAAATAAATAAATAAAGTGAGACTGAGAAAGCATCAGTGAGATTGAAAGAGGCTGAGAGAAAATGACCAAGGCAGAACATGGGGAATATTGTGTTAGTTTTACTGATTATAATGCTAGTGTTTCAGTCCTGTTTTCCAATGTTCCTTTCTGACCACAGTACCTATTATGTTACGGAACTGTGGCTTTTCAACCAATATACCAACATGTTGCACTAAATTTCATGCACACCAGTGGACACAGATTTCCAGAACAAAGAATGTCATCAGACAACGTCTCACCCTGTTTGGCTTGAAGCCCAGCACCTCTATTGTTAAACTAGGTGTGGTTCTCATTGCCAACTCAACTTGAAGCTGAGTAGGGGAAAGGATTCCCCCCATCCAGTCCCCACTTTCCAGCATTCATCAGGACAGATCCTTCAGGTCTGAGGACCAAGCAAACCCCTCTAGTTGGTCACCCTTGAGTATATTTGATCTGCATTTTCAGAGGCCTTCTCCTTGGGCTGTGGGGGTCTTTTGGCTGCCTTCGGAACATCCCTGAGGCTAATCTGTCCCATCTCCTCAGTGCTGTGGTACCATGGGAGCAGGTGGAGTCTGGAAGGCTTCCTTACTTGTTTTAACAGTGTGGTCCAGGTAAAGGAGTTATGATTTCTTATGACCCTCAATCTGGAAAGGCTTGCTCAGCCAAACAGTCAACTTGGACCGGGTTCTTATACATCCCCTTGTAAAAGTTGTATTAATAAAATGAGGGCCTAGTTCAACCCATTTCTGTGTCTTGACTTTTCTTTCCTGATTATGTTCACCAAAAAAATATTACAGCTGTTTTACAACTAATATTTAAATCACTCCTAAAAATGCACATGGATCCATTGTGTCTTGTATTTTATCACTCCAAAAAGGCTGTGTCTTTATTAACTTGGCATCTGCCTTCCCCAGTTTACTAAATTCATTTACTTGATCATTTATGCCATGTCCCAAGCTCTTAACTTTAAAAACAAATAAAATAAAGGAAATCATCAAAAGTGCTGCTGTCAAGAGATAGGTTTCCACTTCCATGGCTTCTGCAAACGGTACCAGGATAATGATGGATCACTATTCTGCTAATATCTGCTAATATCAAAATCCAGTAAATCTTCATCTGTGGACATAGCTCACTGTTGATGATGATTAAAAAAAAGAAGAGTTTTAAGCCTTAGGATCAATGGCAGGCTTCTTATTCTGTGGCAAAAAAATTCTCAGATAAATTTTATTTATTTGTTTCACATATATTGTTTTACCATACTTGTCCTGCATATTGGAGCATGAGCAGCTTAACTAAAACAGAATACGGGACTTCCGGGGTGGCGCCTCCGAAAAATGGCGGAATTCCCTTCGAACTGAAGGGAACCCGCTGCACGGAGGCTTGGGTCCTGTCCGCTACGGCGCAGCGGGGACCCTTAAAAACCACAGGCGGAAGAAGCCTGTGGGCGTGGGACTCGGCGGGCCCCGAGAGCGCTCTCTTCCTTGTGCAGGAGCCCGGTAACGGGCTCCGGAGTGGGAGGTGCGTGGTGCTGTGAGTCGTCTGCTTCCTCCGTGCAGCAAAGCCGCACTGCCGTCTTCGGAGAGCGCTGCCTTTTCCTGGACAATTTGGCATCTAAAACATCTATCCGTGAGTACCCGATCCTGGAAGAGCTGAACTACTTTTAAGATTGGTGAATAAATAAATAACATTGGACTTGAACTTGAAATTGAATTTAATTGGGACTCGGAACGGAAAGGTCTAAACAGGAAGTCGCCTTCCGTTCTTTTGTTACGTGAAGAAAGCAAAGACAAATTATACTAAAGCCTGGAAACTAAATTCTGAGAGAACTAAAATTCAACATCTAAGATTTCTGAACCCCCCCTTCGATTGCAGGAGAAGAAGGGGGTTGTTTTGATCTTTTCAACCCTGCGGGACTGAGTTTAAAATAAAGTAATTTCCCACCGCCCTGAACCAGGAGCGGGCTGTCAGAACTGACGTTTTGAAGCTTATCCAGCTCGACAGATAGTTAAAAGAAGGGTAACATTTTGATTCTACTGTTGCCTCTTGAATTTGAAAGGGGAATTTTGGATAAAGTGTTTCTGGAAAAAAGAAAGATTGTTACTGTTGTTTTTCCCCCCTCTTAAAAAATAAAAAAAAGGGTTTTCCATCTAGTGGAACTGAGTGAAATTGCAATGCAGAGAGTTTAAAAGAGAAGGATCATTCTCGTGGGAAAGAATTTTTTCTGACCTTGAAGGACAATGCTTGTACAAAGGCTCGAACAAGTGTTCCTGGAAGGTTTTGCAAAATTAAGTGCCCAGCTGGACCAGATGCGTCAGGAGTCGACCTTGATGAGGACGGAAGTTACCAGAGCACAGCAGCAAACAAATGAAATTCAGTTAAAGTCTATACAAGTATATGAACCTGCTGTAGCGACGGAGGCTTCAGAGATGGAGGGACCTATGGATGGGCAAGATCAGCCTTTGAACTTGATAAATGAACTTGGGACAAACCTGATTCGGAAAGATGAAATGTGGTCAGATTTGGAAATGGGGGGATGGATTGACACCCCTCTATATGGTTATTTGGACTTTCCGAGTCTAGTGATGGGCCATCAGAGGAATGGAGTAGTCGAAGTCTCCAAGTTTCGTGGAAATTGGAAGTGGCATTATCTGCTGTCTGGCTTGGGCAATGGGTTTGGGATGGACTTGCTGCAAAGAGTCAAAAGCATCTTCTTGCTGGAGTATCCACGACTGAAAGGGAAATATCAACAAGAGTGGCGAAAGGGGCAAGAAAGAGACTTGAGGGCCTCGGATATGAGACAACCAGGTTAAGGAGCCGGATTACTGAGGTTAAAAGGACTGACAATCCCGGGTCCAGGGGAGGGGAGGCTGGAAGTTGACTGGCTTGAATCTGACTTATTGTTTTTGCTTTCTTATTTTCTAATATTGGGAATGTTTATAAATGTTTGAAGGATGTTGAATGAAATTATATGACTTAAGTAAGGATTG